AAACCAGCGCTCCTGTCAGGAGTACTTCACTTCTCCCGACCTGTTCTGTCCTGTCCTCCGTCCTGTCCAGTGGCATGACCTCCCACCCGCCACCTCTCACCGTCTTGGCCGCATCCAGTGCAGCTCCCGCCCGCACCAGCGCCTGCACCACCTCCATATGGCCCTTCTGAGAGGCCACGAACAGCGGTGTGGCACCGTCCTGGTGGGGGGGGGGAGAAGGGGGGAGAAGGGGGGGACAGGGAAGTGAGTTATGTGATAGATTCAAAAGCCAAGCGGAGGGGTGGGGAATTGCCAACGACGACCTCCAAAGCAACTAATGGTATACCGTAGGGGGAGGGAGGGCAGGGGCAGTCTGGTGGCTGTGGGGAGGTAGCGGCCTATTTGTCGTATATGCCCCAACATACATACATACATAAACGCTGTAGTACCTACTATTGCACACAGGCACGCTCAACAGGTACCCTCACCTGGCTCGCCTTGGCCATGAGCACGTTTCCTCCCGCCTTTATTGCCGCGTGCAGCCCCTCCAGGTCGCCCACCTCCGCCGCCCGGAACAGCTTCTCGTCGCGGTCGTCCGTGGGCACGAACTTGCCAAGATCCAGCTTGGTGGCCAGACGCAGAGTCATCACACGGCTGGCCCCCGCCACCTGGCCCAGATCCTGGAGAGCCTCCACCACCTGCGTGAGGGGAGTGGGGCAGTGTGGGTGTGGGTGGGTGTGGGGGTGGGTGTGTGTGGGTGTGGGTGTGGGTGTGGGGAGGTAAGAAGAGGAACCACAAACGAGTGAAGCCGCTGCCAAGGAGCAGAACTGACCAGTAGGCGTTCTTGAAGGCGGCGACGTCGGGATGATGTAGTGAAAGGTGGGGGGAGGTAAAAAGACGAACCCTTGATGATGATGATAATGATGATGATGATGATGATGATGAGACAGATACCAGAGATAGACAAGACAGCCCAAAGAGTGAGAGTGTGTGGGGCAACACACCTTGCACCCGGGGGCCTACTGAGCTTACTGAGCTTACTTTCCCGCCCTCGGTCGGCTTTACGGTCCCCCAGTCGGCTGTAATAACAATGATAATGATGATATGGGTGCAACGGTGTGTGTGTGTGTGCGTGTGTGTGTGCGTGTGTGTGTATGTGTGTGTATGTGTGTGTATGTGTGTGTATGTGTGTGTGTGTGCGTGTGTGTGTGTATGTGTGTTGGTGGAATGGACGCGGGTGCGTTGCTGGTGTGATTGGCAAAGTCGGGTGTGTTTAGAAGAAGAAATGGATACTGTACATATGGGAGGATAGCCGGATAGCTGAAGCAATACACACCCACCCCCACCCCCCCCACTCCCCACACCCACCTGTCGTGGCTCGTGGTGGTCCAGATGCTTCCAGCAGAAGTAGCTGTACACGGCCCAGATGCGGTCCGGGGTGCTGCTGGCCTGATACCTGAGGAAAGGGCCGGGGGGAGGTGGTGAGGGAGGGTTGGTGGCGGCGGGGCAGCGGTGCTGGTGGGGCAGCGGTAGATGCGTTTGCAAGGGTAAAAATGCCGAAGATATCATCAGAGGTCTCTCTTCTTCATGAAGGAATAGGAGAAGTGGACGGTGAAATCAAACGCCCCTCACCACGTCCTCCCTCAACATGCCCCCAAGCCAAGGGAGGGCTGCTGAACATCCCCCTCCTAATTGAGAAGGCCTGCTACAGGCATTTTCTTCACAAGGATCGAGAATGCCCAACCCGCGTCCAGAAGATTCTCAAACGCTGCAACGCAACGCAACACAACGCAAGGAGCACCACGAACACCGTTAGGGGGTTTGTTACAGCGGACCCCGAACAGCGGGTCGAGTGCAACAGCACAACACCAGCAGCAGCAGCAGCAGCAGCAGCAGCAGCAGCACAACACCGCCAGCACAGCACCCCCATGCATGGGACGAGAGTGCGAGAGGCTCTCCGCCGGAGCTGGAGCGGATCGCCTCCACAGGCGACCTCCCAGGCCTTGCTTGCCTCACTCACCCCACCCCCTAACCCCGCTTACTACTACTTACCCTCAGTTTCCCTCCCCTCCTGCCATTCACCCCCCCCCCTGAACTCCCCATGACCCCCCTCCCCACCTTCTACAACTCACCCTCCCCCCTCTCACCCCGCACCCCGCACCCACTCCAGCAGTTTCAAACTTCGTGCGCCGGCCGTTCCATTCCGATTTCCTTGCACATGACTAACCCTCCCTCCCCCCCATCCCAACCCTCCCTCCCCCCCCAACCCATCCCAACCCGACCCACCTGCCCAGATGTGCCTCGTCCAGATAGTTCAGCAGCCACGACTTGGTGGGTGCATCATCGAGCACACTGCAGCTCTGCCAGGTCGCCGTCGCCAGCTCCACCAGGTGCGCCAACCGGCTCTCCAAACCCTCAGCCAGATGAATACTGCCCGTACGTACCGCCGCAGACCACGGCCCGCCAATGGCCTCCAACAGATTGCCCGCCTCCTCCCCCAGCAGGTCCTTAAACACGCTGGGAACAGCGGTGACGTCCTCCAGGTCGGAAACCATCCAGCCGCTGGAGTTGCGACTCGGAAGGCCGCCGCCGCCGCCGGAGGCAGCGGCGGCAGCGCTATTGTTCATACCGTTGGCCGCTGCGGCGGCGGCGGCGGCGGCAGAGGAGGAAGAATTGGCGCCGGTGAGTAAGGAGCCACCGTTGCCGTTGGCGCCGCCCGTGCTGTTGGGGTTGTTGGTGCTACCATGCGAGGGTAGCGGTGGTGATGGGATTGGTTTGCCGCACCGGCGCATCGCATCCAGCACCATACCCAGCCACGCCTCCAGTGGCAGCCAGTGGCACAGCAACTCCGGACGGCCGTGCCGCGCCATGCGCTCAACCTGCGTCCAGATGCGGCAAAAGTAGCTGCCGCTGGCGACGTAGCCGCGCTGCAGGATGGCGGTGAGCGCCTCCGCCGCCAAGCCGCGCTCCGGCGCCGTCGACGCACCGTCGCGCAGCAGCCGTACCGCCTTGGACAGCACAAACCGCGTGACGCCGTCGTCCGGTATGGAGTCGTACGACGGAATGACGACCATGGCCCGCGCACGTGCGTAGAACAGCTTGGATCGCATGATCTCCACCATGGGACCGCCGCCGCCGCCGCCACCACCTGCTGTATGGCCGCCGCCGGTGCTGTTGGCACCGCCGCCGCCGCCGCTGCCGTACTGCTGCATGCAGCTCCAATCGATCCATACGTACTGAATGCCCTGCTCTTTCACGGCGCTGAGCACCCGCCGGAGTTGCTGGAATTGGACTTCCGACATGGGGGAGAAGTTGTGTCGGCTGGCGGGTTTGCCGGCACCCCAGCGCCAGCTGACGACAACAGTCTGGGCCCACTGCTCGTCAGTTATGTCATTGTACGGCACCTCCAGGCATCCGTGCGTCATGTTGATATCCTCGTAGGCTCGAAGCTGGTGCCAACTGATCAGCTTGGCGAGCTTTAGCAGTCGGACGGGGGGATGAGAGAGCCAGCCTGGCATGCTGTTGTGCAGATCATTGACCCAGTCGGGTAGAGTCGCGAGGGGTCTAGGCTCGCCGATGCCAGCTAGAGGGCTCTGTTTTGGTAGGAGAGGTGGGAAGGGAACAGGGGTTGGATTTGGGTTGTCTTGCGAGGTCAACGGTGAGGTGCACGCCAGCAGAGAAGAGCTTCACAAAGCTAAGATAGGACTAGTGGATGGTTGGGTGGGTGGATGCAGTGAGGACCAGCTAGATGCGAGCCGCGGGTGCCTAGGCAAAGTCGTGTCTGGCTCGGCTCTACGTCGCGGTGCAGACAGTGCTGTTTGCGAAAGGTTAGGATTGTGCCCTTCAAGTTTAATGAGCATGGGCATGTGCTCTGGACTTCGCGGCGCGAGGATGCCAGCCTTCCGAAAACGTACATGGTGCAGTCCCAAGGCAGCCAAACCTTGATAAGCAGACATACCTGGGAACTTTCTTGTAATGCAATTGGCCTCCGCTGTCCATCCTACGTCAAGGGGGATGTAAGTTTTAAAACGAATAATACTTCATAAGCGTCCAACAATCCAATAAGCGCCCACTACCTTTGAGACAGACGCTCCACAGCCCATTTTTGCTTTGGTACGGTACGCAATTGCGCAACTATGGGCACCGTCCTAATGTTGCAATCGACACGCCCCCGTGCACGTTTGCTGTTCCCTATGGTAGGACAAGCATGGTTATCTCCAACCAAACATTAAAAGAGAAACGCGGTTACTGTACGGCTGTGTTGTGGCGCATTAAGCTCTATAGACCGGGGGAAGAATTCTGAGGAACCATAAACGCTCGCAGTTGAGCGTTAAATTGCTTTTCATAACAAAAATAAACATAACAAACACTGTAATAAACGGGCAAACAGTTCGCTGGTAAGTTCCACGGGTGTTTGTATTTAATTCGTGGAAAGTCGTTGCACGCCGTTAAAAAAGGGCTTATGCAATGCAGCAGCGAGCTCTTCGCGGAGAATATGTATATAGGAAGGGTTAGTACGCGCAGTCATGGTGTCTTTTCGTGAAGTCTTTTGGATGTCGGTTTTTAGGATTCAAACGGGTACACGCAATTCAGCAGCAACATCGAGGAAATGTGGGGTAAAAACGTATCTTATGACGAAAAACAAAGCGCTTCAGGATAGATGAAGAGGCGGGAATGTGATGAGGTGGGAACTGCAAGGCGCAGGTACGGCAGCTTACCTTCCGCAACGGCCTCACGTAGCTCAACAACATGAATTTTTTGTATCCAACAGTTGTTTAACTCACCACTTCCTTCAGCCCTGACAGCTGACTGTGATTCACGCCGAACAACTATTCAACAGCTCAGACTGTTGTCGCGCGCATGAATCCCTGATTTCCTCATGCCGGAGGATGACCTTACCTGTTTGACGAACGGCACAAGTCCTTCTCTCTTTTTAACACATGTGCGCGCAGAACAAATTTCCTTTTACGTGATAGGGCGCACGGTTAAAAGGTAACGTCCCCTAAGGCCCAAAATACATAATGATGGTAGCGGCCATATCGGTCATGTTCGCGGGTTTCCTGAGGTTCAACGACCTAGCCCACATTTCCCTCAAGCACGACCTGCTCACCCTGCATGACACTCACATCGCCATTAGACTTCCCAGGTCCAAAACGGACCAGGAGGGCAAAGGGCAGACCGTAGGGGTTACAGGTTACCAGGTGGGCAGCCGTCCAACGGGCGCGACGCTGAAAGAAGAAGAGGGGTTGTGTTCGGACTTGGCTGCGCACTCGCCGGGGGGGTGCGGTTGACATGTTGGGGGATTTACCTCTCAGCTGCTTACGTCTATATATACAGTCCTCGTTGGGGAGCTCTACCCATGTCTTAGTTAGGAGTATGACT